TCGCCCAAGTAGGTATTGGTGAGTCCAAAAACAGTCCTCAGGTTTGCGTGATACCCACGCACGGGCTCACCAAAGTTCTTCGCGGGTAAGTCGCTAACTTGATAACCTGAGAAGCTAGAAGACTGTAATTTTAAGAGGATGTTCCCCGTCCACGTAAGTCTCAACAAACTCAAACTCAGACACCGGATATGTGTGGTACTCACGTACGAGCTCATGAAAGTTTTTTTAGGTAAGTTGCTAACTCGAGAGCCAGGAAAGCTAGAAAGGTGAAATTTTAAGGAAGTGTTTCAGTTCTGGCGGCCAGTCTTTGTTTAGCTAGAAGCATTTGCTGGAAAACTCTGTGCCGATAGCGCAAAAACTGCGGGGAACTTTGCAAAAAACGCATCTTCGCACGGGCAGCATTGGCCAGTTATTTTGTTTAAAGTTCATGCGCATCAGGCGACCTCTGGGCGAATCCAACAAAATTTTCTGCCTTCAGCCCAGCTGCTTGCTTTTCTCCTTACGCGTGAACGATTTCAGTGCAACAGAAAATTATTACATAACTTTTCGCCGAAGAAAGAGAAAGGCGAAAAATTATATAATTTTCCATCTTTCCCTTCTTTCGGCTGTTCCTTCATCTGCACCTTATCCTCGTCATCCGCTCACTCTACTCGCTTCTAAAACAACACTGTTCACAGAACATTTTAGGACATTATCAATCTTGCACTTTATGAGGAAGAACAGGAGCAAAATGTTGTTGTTGATGCGTCCCATATCCCGGTTCTACGCAGTTCAAGTCGATCCGGTCGGCCGTCCGCTTCATCTTCGTCAATGTCACGAAATTTTTCACTGTCTAGGTAAGTAAACTACTTACCTGTTTTAAATTTTCCTAAACCACTTTCCAAGAAAAATGATTTTAACCTTTTCGTACGTCTCTGCACATTTTTGCAAACGCAACGCAGGTAGTAAAGCGCAAGCCTTGCCGGTGCAACCACGCATTTTTGCATGATTCCATCCTGTAGAAATACCGCCTGTACTATTAGGATATGATTGCGGTGCTGCAGCTTGAACATTTAATGTGCTTGTACGCAGGGCCTATGTCTAGGCAGAAGATTCATCTTACGTTTGGTAGCTCACACATGAACGGCAAGTGTTCTCAAAAAAATGCGGCTTCTTGCTCAATCTGTTTACTGGATTAACTAGGTGCCAACAGTGCCCAAACTAAACCTCCAGTTGCGCTCACGTGATTTAAAACTGAATTTTGAATATTTCGAACAATTGTGTGCATAGAATATTCTAGTAAAATCTCAGGTTCCTAGCACAACTAGATCGCAATAGCACTTTTCGTTGCAAGTATCTATGACACATGCAGACATATACATACAGACGATACGTACAGATGTACATACAGAACGCG